AGTGCAGCACTATGGCCTCAGGTGAGCTTGGGGAAGTGGCTTGAGATGGTATTGCGTAGTCTGGCAGGAAAGACCACTTGTGTATCATGCAAAGGAGCTGGGATTTCATGTCTCTGGACCTGCTGAAGAAAGAAAGATTTGTATGTGATGAAGAAATCCTCACTAATGAATGAAGATGAGATGGAAGGAGAAAAGGAAGGCGGCTACTGCACCAGGGTGAGCCTGAGAGCATGGTTGACTGAGATGGGATGTAGGGAGGAGAATCGAGAGGACCCGGTACTTGGTTGGTGCATTAGTGCTCTTTCATCATGACCAATTACTATGAACTTAGTAGTTTAAAACAATACAAATCTATTGTTTTCTACAGTTTTCTAGGTTAGACTCGGACATGGCCTTACTGGTGTCAGTAGGCCTGCACTTCTTTCTTAAGGCTTAGTGAAGAATTTATTTACTTGCCCATTCCAATTATGATCAGAGTCTGGCTCCTTGCTTTTGTAGAATCAAGGTTCTGTTTTCTTGCTAGTTATCTTCCAGGGGCTTGCGGTGCCCTCCTGGTACAAGGGCAGCCAGGGAGGGCCAAGTTTCTTGCCCATGTTTGGTCTCTCCTGCCTCAGGTGTGCACTATCATGCCCAGTGAGAATTGCTTTTTGGTCTTCTATATATTGACTTTAAGATATCCCTGGAAACTATCTAGAAGTAATATACTAGCCAAAAGGCAAAAGAGAAATCAAGGCAGGTGACTCCGATAAAGAAGCTGTTGACATAGAGTGGCCCTCGATGCATGTGTGAAATGAGAGGAGAATAGGCTGGGAGAAGCTTCTGTTCTAGGTGTAACTATGGGAGAAGCACTCATGACAGAAACTGAAGAATGATCTGCCTGGCCCTTACCCATGGTTTCTGTCCCTTCTGTCACATTCTTTCTTTCCCTTTTCCCTCCCCATTGCCTTTCTGCCTACTCATTGTTTCTGCTTCCTAAAATGCAGCCCCCCATTGTGCTGGGACCCCCCTCCGGACTGTCTTCATGGAGGTAAAACCTCCAGTGTCAATTTCCACTCCTGAATGCCGGTTCTCATGGGGTTTTTCAATTGCAGGCTTAAAACAAACAAGCTTTTGAAGAGAACTGGTTTGATCCAGCCTATCTGGAGTCACGCTGTGGCTTGGGTCCCCTGAGGAATTTAGGACTGACTTTCCCAAAGCCAGGTGCCCTCCATGCTCCAGTCGGCTGCTTACGTGTTTCAGGAACCAGGATGAATCAGATCTGAGTGTTCGGCTGATCATTTTGTTCCACAGAGACTTTGGAGGAAGAAGGGCCGAGGCTCATGTGTTGAGAGTGGGCAGTTTGGAATTTCGCCCTCCTCCCAGGCTCCTGTAGGCCTAATGCTGTCTGTGGGTAGGAAATGGCCCTTGCAGGAACTGAATTCTGGGTCCAAACCACAGGAAGAAAGTCCAGACAGCAGAACTCAGAGTGAGCTTTGCCCTTCTCCTTCAGATTCATCTGCAGGCTGTGTTGTCTTGGAGTGTTTATAAACATTGTCCAAAGGAGAGCTAGTTGCTCAGCAGTGTGGACTTTCTGACCACTCACCCCTCCTCTACAGGCAGCCTCTCTGCACACAACTGAGGCTGACCCTCCTGTCATTCTGACTATGCGCTCTCAGCTTCTCTTAGGCAGAGGCCTTCCATCAAGGCTGCAGCTTGCATCATAAGGTAGGGAGAGCCAACAAGGCACCATTGCTTTTCTTTGGTGTCCTTGCTGGATTGTGAGAAAACTAGGATTTGTAGTGCAACATGAACAAAGAGCTATAGTTTCCAAATTCCTATTGGTTTCATTATATACAGATAAGAATCTTTCTTTTTTAATATACTGGCTTTTTTTTTTCTGAGACACGGTCTTACTATGTAGTTCAGACCAGCCTTAAACTCAGGATGTAGCCCAGGCTGGCCTTGAACTCCCAGCATTCCTCTTGCCTCAACCTCCCAAGTGGTGGCTGAGGCATTCCTCTTGCCTCAACCTCCCACATTATAGGTGTGTGGCAAGACAACCAGGTTGTGTTGGGAAATGAATGCAAGTAGCTATGAGGTACACTCCCCACCCCCTTTTTATCTTTTATTTTGAGATAGAGTTTTCCTAAGTTGCCCAGGCTGGGATCAAACTTCCAATGCTTCAGCCATGGCCTTTCAAATAGCTGAGATTATAGCTACCAGGATACAGATGAGAATCTTTTACAAGATATTAAGTTGATAGACTTCAGGAAGGGCATGACCTCTGTAAGACTAAGAGCGTTTCTCATAGTCAAATTCCTCTGATGTTAAGCTTCAAAGATATCTCTGAATGCCTTCCTTTCATGAGGAGGATCATGAGAGGCACGTGTGTACCGGGGTGTTTTGTGACCTGATGGGCTGGCACCTGCACAGTGGCCCTGCCCTCTTTCATGCTAGGAACTGGACTGAAAGCAGGAAGGTACAGAGCTCTTGACTCTGTAGTGGACACTTGATGTCCATTTCTCGTTGGACCATTGCCAGGTTATTCTTGAATCTCAATAAAGGGGACACCCGCCATGCCAAGCTGGAGGAAGTACCCCAGTCAAAGGAATGTCCCAGATGCTTACAGGTTCCTGAGCAGAAAGGGAGACAGCCATGTGCTGAACCTAATCACTGGAAGTCCTAGAGGACCAGTCAGAGCTGGGCCTTCTGGTGGTGTTGCAGCTGATTGTGTTCGGTCTGTCCATAGATGGCTTCTTGGTGGACATATGTAGTTGCCCAGGGGTGAATGAAGCCATTAGCAGTGGACTCTCCTGGGTCACTAATCTCAGTGAAAACAGGTTGAGCAGGAAGGCTTAGGAGATCAAGGGAGGTGCAAGTCCTGCTCAGGGCAGGAGAGAGGACCTAGGAGATCCAGTGCCAGCTCTGAGGCTGCCCGCTGGGCCAAGCAGGGAGGCAAGTGGGTGTTCAACCTTGGCTGGCTGGAGCCAGGGAGGAGAGGGCAGTGAAACAGCACTGAAGCTGACGTCCTGCCTGGTGCAAAAAGGGAAGACAGCAGATCCTGAAGAATGGAATGGAACGAATAAGATAAAGAGGCAGCCTCCAACCTGACAGAGGGGCCACCTTCCCTGGGACACCTAGCTAAGAACCCAGATCACTGACCTTCTGGCTTTTGAGTCAGAGGATCTGAAGGGTAACATTAAATCCTTGCAAAATGAGGGACACACTTCTCTTGCCATTCCTTCCTTCCCCCTGTGCCTTTACTTTCTGCTTTCTTCAGACCCAGAAGAGTCCTATGCAGTTTAACCCGAGTTGCTTGTGATCTTTGAACCTGCCAATCTTTACATTTCTGGGACTTGATACATGTTGTTTCCTAACTGTGCAAGGGCTTCCCTTTCCTTCTATCTATAAAAATCTAACCTAATCATTAGGAGGCAGATCAATTTCATCTTTAGAAAGTCTTCCCGGACCTCTAGATTGGGTAAGCAGCCCTTAATTTTGTCTCCACCTAACTTTGTCTCTTTGCGATATCACTCATTAGATCGTGTTCCAGTCTTGTAGTGGGATAATAACTGAAATGCTATTTGACTCAGGTATAGTCTCAGCTGCCTGTAACAGTGCCTTAAAGACAGTAGAAGCTTATCTCTCTCGCCTGTTAAGGAAGACTGTGGAGAAACAATCTAGAGCTGGGGTGGCTGCTTTGCAGTGTCATCATGAATCTAGTTTCTCATTTATCTTCTGTGCTTTGCTTAGCTCATTGCTTTCATTTTCAAGTTTGCTTTATATCCACAGTAGCTGCTGGAGCTCTGACCGTCAGACCCAAGCTCTAAGACACGAGAAGGGGAAAGATGAAGGATTGCCAACCTCTTAGGGAGACTTTCTGGAAATAGCATACAACAATTCTGCTTATAGATCATTGATCAGAACTCAGTCATGTGTCCACATCTAAGTGCCAAGGAACAAGGAAATTGTAGGTTTAATTGTGCCAGCAATTTGTCAAAATAAAAATTGCACAATAAGAAACAAGAAGAGAATGGATATTGAAAGGCAAATCACAGTCACACTATCTGATACTTTCATTTGCAGTAGTTCTTATTGTTTCCCAGTCCTCTGCCTATTGACGCTGGCTTTGAAAGCAGGTAGAACCCACATTAAAAAAAAAACAAAAAAACAAAACAAAACAAAAAAAACAAGATTACTTACAATGGCCTCAAAATTTGCTGACATAATTTAGATGTATAGACATGCTCCTTTTTTATTTTCTGAACTTGACTTATCCACAAACCCGTATTTCCATTAATGGCTGAGGGAAGAAAGTCTAAAGTTAACACAGTCACTACTGTTTTAAAATTGAGTCTCTTTGGGTTGACTGTTTGATTATAAGCAGGGCACATCCCTTCCTCTTTTCCTGCCTTCTCCTTAGGGGCTGGTCTGCTCTTCAGCCTTTCTCAGCCCGCCACCAATTAGGGGCAGGGTATGCCTGTCTCCCCCCTCTCCCCAGAAGCTTCTGGGGCTGGTCTGCTTTCTCTGATGTTTATTGTGGAAGTTGGCACATGGGAAACAGCTAAAAATGTGTTTGATGCATTTATGAGTCTATTTTAGATGCGTCACATAATTAATTCAAATGGTACCATAATGATTTGAAAATCCTGCACAATTAAAAGTCTATTTCTCTGAAGCCTCTGGCACTTTACTTATAGCTTTCTTTTAACAATGATACTTCTCTGCTCTCCTTAGTGTGGCTTGTGCGCTTGCCTTGCCCCTCATTTCGTGCCTGTTTCTGATCTCTGTAGCTTTCACGGACACTGAGAAATCTGGGGGTACAGGAAGTCTTTAGTTAGTGACAACGAGTGACCACAGGAACAGCCCAGGGGACTGAGAATAGCTCCCACCCCAGACGGACAGGAATAGAGCTGATTACAGCAATGTACAAGGCCATTGATGAAGATAAGTTGATATTTTGCCTCTTACAGAACCTTTTTACCCTTTTCTAAAAGAAATATTTTTTGTTTGTTTTTCAGAAATCCTCCACCTACTTTACTGCATCCAGAAAACTGGTGCGAGGAATTCAACCACTTTATTGCACAGTGAGTATTTTTTCCACTGAAAATTGCTTGTCTAGTGGGGCTTGAACAGTGATTGGAGAAAATCTGAGCTGTAGAATTTGTTCAACATTAGAAGTTATTATGCTTACCAGCTCGTTAGGATGTGGGATTTGTTCCAGTAAATGATAGAAGTTGCCTTACTGGATTTGAAAACTCAGGAGCTCCATTTGACCTGGCTACAATCCATCCTTCTCATTGCATGGACCCAGTCATCCAAAAGCCTATGCTGGTATGGGCCTAACGTTGCTATCTTGCAGTGCTTGATGAAGGGGGAGACTCCACATCTAAAAGCCCTTTGATCACTCAGGAACCAAAGAGGAGACAGGTGAACAGACCCAGTAGGATTTGTAGCACAGCTGGTGGGCTTTGCTCTAGGAATGAGGTATGGGAACAGGCCTCCATTGCCAAGATGATTAAGGAGACAAATGTGGAACATGGGCCTGGGGCACCAAAGCGAGCCAGTCTAGCTAAGGCTCACAGTGTGGAGAATAAGATGAAATCCCAGCTGATGCTGAGAGCTAGGCTGCTAGGCCATGTTCACTGAGACAGCACAACCAACATGACCCTGACAGGGTGGGCGATTCTTGCTAGGATTATAGGCTTTTGGCCTGGTCCTGCCAGGGGACCTCACTGGTCCCAAATCTGCAGAGGATTCTCAGTCTGGAGGAGGCCCTGAGGCCCCGAGCTAGAGCCTGGTGAGTCATGGGGATAGAACTGTAGACTGGGCATGAAAAGCCAAGCCCAGGAGCAGAATCTGGAGAGAGGTACCCCTAGCACCTAATGTACTGAACAGGTTTCAGAGGTCAAGGGAGGAGAAAAGAAGCTGACAGACATGTATGGAAGGTCAATACACAGTTTTCTCCTTTATGCCTATGAGTAGACCTCACTTCCACAGTTTGTGCCACCAAACTAACTAGAGGTCTCAATTGTCTTCCTTAATCACAGTAGAGATCAATAGTCCCTTATCCATAATCCTAAAATCCATAGAGCTCTGAAAAATGGGAGTTCTTTTGTCATTGAGTTATTTAGCAGCAAAACTTAACCTTACATGAACTGATTTAATGGCAAGACATGACCTGAACAGATGTGAGACTATTTATAGTCATGATTTATCTTAGTGTGAATATTCATGTGTTTTGCTGCAGATATTTTACTGTTTGATTATAGTGTACTGCCCCAGATCCTGCTGGGGATACCACAGTAATTGTACCAGCTCACCTGTCTAAAATTTGAAATTCTAAACATGTTTGGCCCTCAAGGGTTTGCATAAGTGCTGTGAACCTGTATTTTACTTTCAATTCAAATACAATATAGTTCAGGGTCCCTAAAATTATTTGGTGATCTAATCCTTTTTTGGACTGTGCCCTGTTCCTCAGGAGAGGGGAGCAGAAAAGAGCTCAAAGAAGTCTAACAAGGCTATACTGGAACACAACCATGAAGTTCAAGGCCAGGGGCAGGAGATGTGTCCTTGCCCCTTTAGCCTGACTCTGACAGTTTAGCAGAATGCACCATGGATAGCCATGAGTCAGGGGATGCTGGGCCAGGGTGGAAAAGAACAACAGTGGGGAGCAGAGGGGAAGCCACTTACCCTTTGGGTTTGGGAACTACAGGAGAGAGTGGAGAGAACAAGGTCTGAAGACTCCGTGATGGCTTGGGGTCCCATTTCATACTACCTCAGAAAGAAACCTGGGGCTTGGTTTCCAGGGAGTTTGCTTGCAAAAACATGATGCAAGAATTTTCATTTCATTGCTGCACAGATACCCTTGGATGACCTTCTCCAAAGTGTTGGCCTAGAAAAGTCCATTACATATTCACTAATACACCTTCTCATTCTGAGCCTTCCTGGTGCCTCTAAGGATGTGACTTGACTCACAAGTTTGGCTTCAGTGTACTATTCAAGGGTATGCTTGTGTTCGTAAGCCAAGCACAGCATTGCTTGGATGAATTTGGAAATAACGGTGTCTAATTGACAGCAGGGTTGGGACTTTTAGGCTACCTACAATATAAAAATTTCTGCCTGCCACTGATTCTCCTTTGTCACAAATCCTATTTCATGCCAATTCCAACCTACTTATGTTTTCCATGATTTTGAGAATTGCAGATGCAATTTTAGTTTTAGTTTTAAAAAGGTTTAGAATGTTATGGAGAGTAAACACAGGCAAGAATATGCCGGGTCAAAGCCAAACACATTGCACTTGCCGAGGAGGGAAGAGTCTGAGTCCTAATGAACCAAGGAGAGCAAATGGGCACCAAGTGATTGTGTGCTTCTGCTAATCTGAGATCTGGCAATATATCATCAATCTTTTCCTTCTTTAATAAGTTTTTAAATTGCTTTTTATTAGCAAAAGTATTATGTATTACAGGTTGTTGGTTGATTCTTTCTCGACCTTAGTCCCTCAATCCTAGCTTTCCCATCATAGCTTATATTTCAGCTGTGAATTCTCTGTCTACAATATTTAGGAATGGGGGAACCAACTATTATATTTTATGACTTTGGAGTGAAACTTCCCCCAGATAACATCCTTTGGTTTCATAAATGAGACTGCTGTGTCCGGGTTGCCATCACTCAGCCTGCCAAATGCAATTTGGCCAAATCCGATTTCATTATTCAAATCTCTAATTCAATATAAACAATAACTCTCTTGGGTTTAAAATGCCTATCTAAAGACAGAGCTTTAGTTTGGTTTTATGCTTACCTTGCTGTAGCAGGAAGGAAGTGTGGAGGATTAAGACCCTTGAATTATAAGCTTTTCATTATTGGAAGGACTGGGGTGGGGAAAATGATCATCTGGTGATTTTAGGAAAAGTGTTTTTAACCTAAAATTTTCAGATAATTGCTTCATTTACCTTTGTCAATCAAGGCACAGAATATCATATTTAACTGAGCTGATTCTCTCTGAAGAATGAACAGAATTAGAAATTTCTTATCGTCTTTAAAACCTTTGGTTCCCTGTCTCCCTGTAGCTGGTGAACCACCATCGTTCAGTCTTTTAGGTCTTTCTTGGTCCACGCTGGACACTGCTCGGCAGAGGACCTGGAAGACTTCTTATGGGCTGTTGCTGGAGTCTGAGTGAGTTGTCTTGGCTGCAGCCTAGTGATTATAGCAGTGTAGATGGGGGCTGCTGGTGTGGGGGTTGAGGGGTGGCCAGAGAATGTAAGGGGCACGTAGCTTGGTGTTTTTCAGGTTTGCTTTTAGCTTCCTTATTTGGAGACAGTAAGAGAGCTTTTTTAAAAGGTCTAAAATTCTATTAGTAAACCTGTCTTGGGGGTTAAAAAAAAAAAAAAAAAACATTACCCTGTTTGGTTCTGAACCTTTGGTTGTTAGTGATAATTGACTCATTTATATGTGTTAGTTATGCATTTGTCAAAGTGTGACTCCTGACAGCTTAGTTATGATAAATTAGACGTGATGCTCACATAAATTCTGCACTGCTTTTTATCCATATAGTAGGGCCCTGCCTGATGATTTTTGTCACCTCTATAATGTGTGGTTGGCTTTGCAGCAATTTCATTATCAGCCCTTTCCCCTATGGCTGCAGCTATTTGCATAACAAGTCTATCTGGTTCAAGTACCAGCCAGCCAGACTTGTGCTTTTGTCAGGAGGCGCTATGCAAAACTAGCTTTGATAAGACAGCCATACTTTTCCTTTTGCCAGTTTCACCTTGGTCCTAATGGATGCTGTTTCACCCCCCCCCCTTCAATTCAAACCGATTTAAGGTCTTTGGATGAAACTACAGAAACAGTTTCCCAGCCATTGGCCAAAAGATATTGGTGAGCTGTATGGTTTCATTTTGTCTCTAAAACTGCTGGGATTTTATTAGGACTCGGATTTAAGACTCCTCATCAGAGGCTCTTGAGCTGATTAGTGAGACAATAAAGATGGATTTTCTTTGGTGAAGGGCACATCCATCAGGGGCAGGATGGCGGCTCAGCTTTGGATTTAATGATGACAACTATATGATCACCCGCATATAAACTTCTTTCTTGGAGCGGCTGACTTGAGCAGTGCAGAGGAGAAAAAGTAGTTCTCACCCATTATACAGTTGAAAACTGAGGCCTCTGTAGACAGGTGAAAAAGAGAAAAGCATAACAAATACATTGAATATAAGTTTTGTGTGACAGGAACGCTCTCAGAAGTAAAGTTCCACAGACTCAGGGAAAAGTGTATTGCTGTGCTTAGCTTCCATGAAGAACAGTCACGTCAGGATGTAACTGACACAAGGGGGCAGATCGACTGGCAGTTACCTGGGGGAACTTGGCAAGGCCTGTCTGACTCTTCTGGACCTGTGGGTGTAACAGTCAGTTCTCCAGGGATTGGGCAGGAAGGACATCCACCAGATGAGGGTCTTCAAAAGAGAAGTGAGGGGCCCGGGAGACAGCTCAGTGCAGTAAGTGCCTGCCTGGCAAGCACAAGATCCTGAGTCTGAGCCCCGTACAAACAAAAAAACAACAATAATGAACAGAGAAGTAAGTAGCAGAGGGTCAGAGTGATGGTCCTGCTTCTGTGCGTCTGTCTTTCATTATTTCCTTTGAGTTGGACTATGCAGTATGTGAGGCGCTGTGCTGGACATGCGCTTGGTGGCGTTATTCCTCGTCCCCCCACTGGCAGGGAGCTCAAAGGTGTGAGCCTTGCTATCTAGTCCCAGAGCAGAGGAACGGCCTTTCCCTAGCCCTCGAGGTGATGCTGAAATGGGTCTGAGCATTTGTGCTGAAAATTAACAAGACGAGATCACTCTGAGCTGTGGAAAAGAGCGGGCATTTGCATATGTGTATTTCTTGAAAACTGAAACTCGGCTTCTCTGTAGGCCTGAGTGTTGCTAAAGCTGAGCATTTAGGGGGCTGTTATTTCCTTGTGAGTGTATTTCCCTAAGGCAACCGTTCTCAGCTCTTGCCTGTTTCCATTTGGCCCTTTTTAAAGCTGCTTAGTTCCATAGGGCTTCACAATGTCAAGGAACAATGCTTCCTAAGATAAATATCCTAC